CCGAGGCTGTTTTGATGACTGGAGCGAAGGTGGCGCCGTAATTGACACCCGGGACCTGGGAGAAGCCTTGCGCGACCAAGCGTGCTTTGTAGATGGGACCTCCTTTATTATCCTCCTTAAACTCTAGCACCCAGTGATTTCCTATTGCTTTCCTCCCCTCTGGTAACCTCGTCAGCTTATACACGCTCATCTCCTTCATCGTCTCTAGCTCCGTCTTCATGGCGGCATACCAATGTGCGTGGTCGGATCGTCTCATCGCTTCTTTGTACGTTGCGGGAGGAATCGACATGTCGTAGTCGTCACTTTCTGGGTTCCGTTTTCAGTTGCTGCGAATTGCGATATGCGCCTGCTCCTCGATGCAGGTGTTGGCCATGATGTCTGTGACATCCGTGTTTGGTTCTACGTCGGTGATGTCTGTAGCTGCCTCGTCATCGTTATTCACCCCCCCAGCCAAGGTAGGTTGAACGTTCCGTGCTGCACGATGGAGTGGGCTACTCTGCCCTGCTCTAGCTGAGTCTTGGTTCCAGGAGTTGTTCTGCTACTACATCCGAGATCCTAGTTGTACGCTTCTTCCGCTGACTCAGCTCCAATCTCCGCTAAACCTCCGCTGATCCTTGTCCTCTACCTAGGGGTCCCCTGCTCCACGTGCCCCCCTCTAAAAACGGCGGCGTCCTTGTCGCCCTCCTCTATTCTGTCCTCTTCTTCATCATTCCTATCTTCATCGTCTTTACTAGATTTGTTCCCTTCTTCTCGTTCGGCTATCTGTCCCTCCTCCCTTGTTTCTTCATCCTCGCGTTGGTTGGCGCTTCTTTCTTCACGTTCCTGTTGTTCTTCAGTGAGCCTCGTGCCTTCTCTTGGTATAAAGGCTCTCAACCTTCGTGCGTGGTACTCCCCAGCCATGGGCTCTCCCGCTAGTGTTTCTAGATGGTATGAATTCCGCAATTGTTCTGTGACTCGACATGGCGGAGACCATCTTGGTAGGAGTTTCCGCTTGGCTTCGAATGTCGTATTTAGGCTGCTAAAATAAAATTGAACCAGTTGTCCCGCTGAAAATATTACTTCCCTTGGGGACCGTGCCAGTACTCGCTTGTCGAATGCCTTCTTCCTCTTCACTGCGTGACGTATGATGGCGTCGTACCCGTCTATCTGTTGCTGTGCCACATAGGCCATGTGGGCACTGACGTCTGAGGAGCGCAGCACCGATGTGCTATCTACGATATTTGTGCGCGGGGTGTTTACGACCTGTCCTAGCAAGAGTTCCTTTGGTGAGAATCCCAGTGCCGGTAAGATTCGGTGATTAAGTGCGTTGACCGCCTCGTCTAAATGATTTGGCCAGCTATCCGGTAGATTATTCCATGTGATATTATTATAATTGTCCTCACCCAGATCTGGAGCGCACAGTCGTTTCAAGACATGCAGTAAGATCTTGTTGGCTCCCTCCACCAGCCCATTGATCTATGGGGAGTAAGCCGCAATGACATGCGTCTTACATGACCATTTCGAGCAGAAATTGTGTACGTCTGCATTGTCAAAGTGTCGTCCTCCGTCGCTCATGAATGTTTCTGATGGCGTGAAGTTTCGGAAGATCTGTGATAGGCTGTCGATCGTTGATTTGGCGGTTCCTGCGGTTTTATACTTGAAGACCCATACATGCTGGGAAAAGGTATCGAGATACACGCCTAGCGTGTGGTATCCTTTTGCTTTTGGGAGTGTAAGGTAATCACCCACGAGCAACTCGAACGGGTGTCTGCGGGTAATGGGTTCCAATAGTGAGTGCAAATGTGGTGAGCCAAAGTTTTTGCACTTAGCGCATTCGCTTATTGCTGCCATGATTGACGCATCGAGTTTCGGGCTGAAGATGCGGTCCATAAGCGCGATTTTGATGGCATCTCTGCCCCAATGGCCTCCGTCGCTGTGTTGTTGGGCCGCTAAGGTTCGTGCTTCTGTTTGCGTGACGCACTCTACCCTATCTCTTGCTCTTACTGTCGTGCCTCCTCTCAACCGCCATAGTTTGCCGTTCTCTATTAGAAACTGCGACGTTCTGTGTTGAGCTCGCTTGCAATCCCGTAGCGACTTCGCCGCATCTAGTTTCAACATTGATTCGATGACTTCTAGGAAGATAGGCTCGTTAGCGAAGCGTTCCAACATGCTGCTTACCTCGTGAGTGTTTTCTATAGTCGTTAGCTGTATGTCATTGACTAGACCGGTGTTTGCTTCCCAGTCTTCACTTACCGTCCAGCTACTGTCGTCATCGAGTCCTGTGTTCCTCGGCTGACCTTCCCATTGTCTGCTTAATCCATCTGCAATGATGTTTAGCTTCCCCGGTACGTGTCTTACATCTATTATATTGTGCGCTAATATCCCGTCTCTCCAGCGAGCATGCGCTGCGTTGAGTCGATTGTTGATCAACACATCCCTCAATGCTTGGCAATCCATTTCGATCTCAACGGGAAATCCCCAGATTACGTCTGCGAACTTGTCCAATGCGAATTTCAAGGCTGCGAATTCTAACAAGAAGGGTTTGTAGTTTTGTTCCGAGGTTGATGTGCGTTTCGACGCGAAGGCGATTGGCAGAAGACATTCAGCCCATTTGCCCGATTGTTTCTTGGTACGTACCCTTTGCGATAGAACCGCTGCTAATCCTTCCTGGCAGCCATCTGAAGTGACGATGAACGCTGATCCATCGTATCGAGGCGCTTGCAGGATGGGTCTGGACATGAGCGCCGCCTTGAGGTCCAGAAAGGCCTTGGTATGTTCTGTCGTCCAACGTTCTGCTAACTTGAATTCTCGTAGAATGCGCCAGTAGGTGTTCTTCGAGTACGGGTGTGCGAGGGGTGCTCCTTTGATGAGATTCCGTAGCGGACCTTCCCTTTTCGCATATCCTTGGACGAGGTCTCTGAAGTGACTAGTTAATCCCAGGAATGACTCCAAATTGAGTGCATCCACTGGCTGCTCCCAGTTTACTATTGCCATTAGCTTCTCGAGATCCGGTTGTACGCCTAAGGGCCCAATTGTTGCACCTGCGAATGTAGTTTCAGACATGAATAAACAGCATTTAGATGGTGAAAGTGAGAGCTTTCGCTCTCGACATCGTTTGAAGACCCTTTCTAGCTTTTCCATCATTTCCTCGAATGAGTCCGCTGCACACGCTCCGTTGTCTACGAACAGTTCTATGGTCCCATCTGCTATAAGGTCGTGTAAGTGTGTTGCTGTCATATCGGCGAACGTCGAGGGTGCGCCCGTAAGTCCCATGGGCATTCTCTTGTACCAGAACCATCCTCGTCCTTCAACATAAAATGCCGTGTAAGGTCGCGACTCTTCTGGTACTTGTACCGCGTAAAATCCTGCTGCAAAATCAAATACAGAAACGAATTTATGACCACTTAACCTTTGTTGTTTAGCTCGTATGTCCCCCTGTGGCATTGGCGCGATTACGGTGTGTTTGTTGACTTCGTTGAAATTTTGACAGATTCTCCACTTTTGCGGACCCTCGTGTTCTGGCGGTTGGATTGTTTCTACGGTTTCCCGTTCAGGTATCGTAAACGCCGGGGGTTGTCCTTGCTGCTCGCATTGTTGGTTGACTTTCTGCCTTAATTCTTCGAGGGTCATACCGCCTTGTTCGTGCGCTTTCTTCGCCAGGACTGTGGTTTCCGCACATTTGACGAGTTCGGGTGGGGCTCGTTCAATGATGTCTGCTGCCAACATCTCATCGATTTTCCCATGGAAAAACTGTATCTGTGGGGGTGTTAGTGCACATTGGTGAACTCTTAAGTTGAATACTGTGCCGTCCGGTATGTGGAGCTTATGTTGTGCTCCTGGTACCGGTATTACCTCTGAGAGTGAGCCTGCAAATATATCAGCATACGAGTGTACCAACTCCTCTACCTTTTGTCGTTCGTTCGCCATTAGCTCGTTTCCATACTGTACCTGTTTGACGATGTACGCTGCGCGCTTGGGATTATGCGGGTCGGTGAGTCTGGTGAATATGGCTGCGCTATCGGTAAGGAATCCTGCTGGTAGTCCTTGCAGTATGTCATTGACGGATTCTTCTGCAATATCACCCTCTTCCGTTAGGATGCAAATGGGTATGTCTGGGATTGTCGCTGTTGTGCTTGTTTGCGGGTCTTCAATTGTTGGGGTTCTCTTGCCGTCTTCTCGCTTCGCGCGTTTGATTCTTGCTATCTGTAAAATTGACTTGCGAACTGCTTGCGTTAGTATTTTTTGCTTTGTACTTTGCCTTCCTATTGGTCTTCGTTGTCTGTTGTGAGTCTTGCGTCGTGCTAGTGCCTTCGTGTTCCTCTCATTCTTCATCGTAGCTCTCTGGATGTGATCTTTTGCTTCTACTATGTCTACACTCCTCATGTGTTCGTCTTCCTTTGTCTTCGATTGCATGTCCAGGAGGTTGTGGATGACTTTCGTGCCTCCTTCACCAGTAATCTGTACTCTGTCCAATTCATAGTCGTGGACCGCTCTGAACGCGCGTAATAGAGGCTTGCCGAATAGAAAGTCCCATCCGCCCGTGCTACTGAAGACTTCGAACTCGCCTTTCGTTCGTATCTCTTTGATGCTGATTTCCCCGTGCCAGATTGCCTGTGATGGTACTATAGCGCCGTTTGCCATTCGTAAGCGCCGTGTGGATGGTGTCCAGTTCCCCAATCTATGCTTGATTTTGTCGAAGACTGTGGAGCACATGGCGCTAATCATTGCTCCTTCGTCGAAGAGCGCCTTTACTCGCACGATTTCTCCTTGTGGTCCTGCGAGTGAGATGTACTGCATGAATGGTAGGCAGTTATTCTTTCTCGATTCCTCTACTTCCGCTGAATATAGGTCAACGATGTCATTGTGCATATTATGCAATGTTACAGCAAGACTGTCTGCGTGACTTCTACGTTCGGTAGGAAGTTGAGTGGGCTTGTCCTCGCACGTGTCTTCCGTACGTGCGAGGACTGGGTGTCTGTCTATCTGAGGTGTGGTCCATGTGTGGGTTGTCGTATGGTCCTCTACGTCGACAACCCTTCCCCATTTCCCTGCTCCCAAGCTTGTGCGGCATATGTGTTGTCGATCACATAGTTAATTTGCGGTGCGGTGCCGCAATTGAACGTTCCCAGAATGCGGGTACAGTGACTGCGCCATATGGACTCGCTTTGCGGCAATTGGCCATCTGGTGGGATCTGACATGCTGGCCCAATGTGTCCGTGCGTTCCGCAACGAAAACACTCTCCAGAGCATATGTGTGCGGTGCCGGGGGTTAATGGGTATGGTGTGCTCTCTGTGCACCGAGCTCCTACTCCCCACTTTGCTCCCCATTGTCTAATCTGGTCCTCGTAAGTTGCTTGTCCTGTCGGCATGTCTGGTTGATGCGTCCATTCACCGACGCGCGCTCTCATGGCGTCTTGCTCTTCTGGGGTTGGTGGTTGAGCGCGTGGTCTTTGTGGAGTCGTCGTTGGTTGATTCGCGGCTACATATCGTCCTGATCGTTGGGCTATCGCTGGTGTGTTCTGGTATGAGGGTGTAGCTGTAATTCTTTGTTGTGGAATGATGGGTGCGGTTGGACTTGCGACCGTTCCAATCGACGTCTGTTGCATTTGCAGATGCAAAATCTCCATTGGATCTGGTTGTTTGCTCTCGAGTCGAGCAATCCGAGCATTCTGGGCTTTCTCTGTGTCTCTCTTTTCCTTCTCTCTTCGCGCTTTGTCTTGGATGATATTGATGTCCGCGTTCTTGATTTCGTCTAGGAACGCTACCCAGTCGTTTGGTGCTGGCGACGTCAAGTCCCTAATGACCCTTGGCAGCGCTTCTCGAACTTGATGTATGAATACCGGTGCGTTGGCGACGCCTGCGTCTTGTACCAGCTTCTGGAGTCGACTATGGTAGTGCAGATGTGACCACGTCGATACTCCCGCCGCTGTAATCCTTTCGCCTACTTCCTCTTCTTTCAGCCTTAACACTAGTAACTCCTTTTGATATTCCAGCTTGGACTTCTTCGCGATCACTGTTGCTGGCCACTGTACTTCGAACACCGCTTTCACGAGATCCAGCGTGACTTTCTTAGCGGTGTCTAACGTTGACCACCATATGTCGGCCTCTGAGCCCGCCGATATGAAGGTACTGAAAATTATGACCTTGGTAGCATCGTCTGATACCCGATTGAGGTATATGTAGCGTTCCACACTCTTGAAGAAGTTCTGCGGGTTTTCATCGTCTCGGCCGTAAAAGATCGACGGCTCTGGCATTCCTGCCATTCTGATGGGGTTTGTGCTGGTTTTATTCGAAGTAGCTACTGTTTGCACTACGCTGGTTTCTTTCGGTGTTGCGGTGAGGTTCTGTTGGATATGTGGCTTTGCTGTTATTGCTGGTGCTTTCGGTGGGTCTAGAGCTGGGAATTGGAATGGAATGACTGTATCTGGTTCTGGTGCGCCTTGGAGGGAATCTGCGTCCTCGTCGTCTGCTAATTGTTGGTTAACTTCCTGTTCCGATAGCGACGGATCTTGCTCTAACGCCCGTTCTCTGATTTCCGGGGTGTCGAGTGGGGACGATTCCTCCGATGTGAAATTGAATGGATCTACGGTTTCTGTGGTTCTTTTAAAGAACCGGCCGTCTGGGCCTCTGGGATGGGCTATCTTTCTTGGAGGCAGTTTGGCTATGTGAAATTTTTCGTTAGTATTGGCTTTCTTATATGAGAATAGAGAGGCTATGCTTTGCAATGTGTCGTCCTCGAGGTTGATGACGCTATAGGCTCGAATGTTCTTTTGTTCTGCTCTGGGCTTCATACACGTGTTCTCTATTACTATACTTCGGGCTTGGGTACTATGGCTATGGGCTTGGTTGGACTCTGGGCTCTAGGGGATGGACCAAGGCAATTCTTGGTCGGGACGAACTCTCTCTGTTCACCAGTTGGAGTGGGCTACTCTGCCCTGCTCTAGCTGAGTCTTGGTTCCAGGAGTTGTTCTGCTACTACATCCGAGATCCTAGTTGTACGCTTCTTCCGCTGACTCAGTTCCAATCTCCGCTAAACCTCCGCTGATCCTTGTCCTCTACCTAGGGGTCCCCTGCTCCAACAAGCATCGCGAAGGGCCATTAGGCGTGCGCGCGAGGCCATGCGGTCATCCTGGTAAGCCTGGCCAGCAGGGGTAGGGATATGCGCACGCGCTGAGTGGCGAGGTTGTGCAGGTGAAACCGGAGGAGGCGAGAATGAGGAAGGGGCAGAGGCAGCGGGGGTGGGAACAGGTGCGGGAGCGGGGACGGGAGCCTTCTCAACATCGACATTGGAATCAGAGTCGTCAAGAGTGGATATGGAAGGAAGATTTTCGTCAAAGACGACATCACGAGCTACGAAGAAGGTGCCGTTGTCACGATTGCGAAGGCGATAACCCTTAGTCCCCTCTGGATACCCAACGAAGATTGCATGGCGCGAGTGTGGTCCAAGCTTAGCCTGAAGTTCAGTGGGGATGCGTGCAAAGCATTTGGCACCAAAAACTCATAGGTGGCCCAAGTCTGGCTTTCTGCCATTCAACACTTCATAGGGCGTTAAGCCAGGGGGGAGGGACACTGATTTGCTGCGGTTCCAGAGGTAGCAGCAGGTCAACACTGCTTCACCCCAAAGGGTAGGAGGTAGGTTTGCGGCTTCCAGCATGGCATAGAGACGACCTTCAATCATGCGGATGGCACATTCTGCTTTGCCATTCTGCTGGTGAGCGTATGGTGCTGACAGTTGCCGTGTGATGCCAGCAGCTGTCAGGGCTGCTGAGAAGGGCGCCCCAATGTACTCACCCCCATTGTCAGAGCGAAATACCTTGACCTTCCGCCCAGATTGTGTCTCCTAGCGCTTGCGAATGATTTCCCATGCCTCCAAGGCCTGGTCTTTGGTAGCCAGTAGTTGGAGGTTCAGCAGATTGCTGTGATCGTTGAGAAAAATGACAAAATGGTGTTTGGCATGGGGGGTAGCGACTGGGAATGGACCACATAGGTCGGAATGGATGAGGTCGAGGATATTTGCGGCCTTAGGAGTGGAAGAGGGTGGATACGGCTTGTGGGGATGCTTCGACATGATACACGGCTCACAGGTGCAGAGTGGGAGTGTCTTGTCGACTTGAGCGCCAGTGGAGAAATGATGTAAACGTTTCACAGCTTCGCCTCTGGGATGACCCAATCGAGCGTGCCATAAGTCCCACAAAAGCGGGACCTTTGCAAAGGCCGAGAGTTCGTGATGGGGTGAAGGCCTGGACGGTGGGATAAACCTTAAATCCAAGAATACTAGGTTTCCCGTCATCAGGATTTCTCCGAGTGTTGTCCCACGGTAAACGAGTTGACAACGTGCAGGTGAAGGTAGGAAGTTACATGAGCCCCTTCAGTGACAAATCCCGTATTATACGGGTCACCCGACCTACATAATATCCCGTGTAATACGGCCAGCGGATCATGGGCCGATGTTATGTATATTCCCGATGTTGACGGGTGGGCCGGGAGGAATATTATTTCCGATGGAGACGGGTGGGCCCATCTATGCTGATGTGATATATATCATCAATGATGGCGGATGGGCCGGGAGAAATATTATGATGGAGATGGGTGGGCCCATGATTAATATGTAGAGTAGGATTGACATATATTAATAGACCTGAGGAGAGATGTATAACAAATATTATTATATAGACCGGTGGGCCGATGTAGGGGTATATTAGATAGACCGGTGGGCCAATGTGGGGAAATATTAGATAGACCGGTGGGCCAACATGGGGTAATATTATATAGACCGGTGGGCCGATGTAAGGAAATATTAGATACATGGGTGGGCCGAGGGTGAGGCAAGTTATTTATTAGATAGACAGGTGGGCCGAGGGTGAGGGGAATTATTTATTAGATAGACGGGTGGGCCAAGGGTGAGGGGAATTATTTATTAGATAGACGGGTGGGCCGACATAGGGGGATATCAGATAGATGGGTAGGTTGACATGGGGAAATATTAGATAGACGGGTGGGCCGACATAAGGAAATATTAGATAGACGAGTGGGCCGACATAAGGAAATATTAGATAGACGGGTGGGCCGACGTGGGGTAACATTAGATAGACGGGTGGGCCGACATAGGGAAATATTAGATAGATGGGTGGGCCGAAGTGGGGAATTTACATAGACAGGTGGGCCAATGCCGGGTAATATTAGATACATGGGTGGGGTTAAGAAAATACAAATATAAGATGATATACATCTTTGTCGTCTTGAATCACCGAGTAACGAGTACTGAGACCCGACACCCAACACCCAACACCCAACACCCAACACCCAGCACCCAGCACCCGAATCCCCGAAACCCGGAACTACCAAACTCTAACCAAACTCACAAAAATGTATATAATGTAAAAAACTCGAAACTCATAGAAATGTATGAGTTTCGAGTCTCAAATGGCCAAGTACCAAGTACCAAGACCCGAGATCCGAAGCCCGAAGCCCGAAAATCAAACTACACCCGACACCTGAACCCCGGGACTACCAAACTCCAACCTCCAAAGTAGCAAAAATGTGTATCATATCAAAAACTCGAAACTTGTAGAAATGTACAAGTTTCGAGTCTCGAATGACCAAGTACTGAGTACCAAGTACCGAGACCTGAGGACCTGAGACCCGAGGCCCGAAGCCCGAAAATCAAACAACACCCGACACCCAAAACCCGGGACTACCAAACTCTAACCAAACTCGCAAAAATGTATATTATGTAAAAAAACTCGAAACTCGTAGAAATGTACGAGTTTCGAGTCTCGAATGACCAAGTACCGAGACCCGAGACCTGAGGCCCGAAAATCAAACTACACCCGACACCTGGAACCCGGGACTACGACACTCCGGCCTCCAAGCTCGCAAAAATGTATATCATATAAAAAACTCGAAACTTGTACATTTCTACGAGTTTTGAGTCTTGAATGACCAAGTACTGAGTACCGAGTACCGACACCCGAGACCCGAGGCCCGAAGGCCGAAGCCTGAGACCCGGGACTACCAAACTCCAACCTCCAAACTCGCAAAAATGTATATCATATAAAAAACTCGAAACTCGTAGAAATGTACGAGTTTTGAATCTTGAATGACCAAGTACTGAGTACCGAGCACCGAGACCCAAGACCCGAGGCTCGAGGCCCGAAAATCAAACTACACCCGACACCCGAAGCCCGGGACTACCAAACTCCAACCTCCAAACCCACAAAAATGTATATCATATAAAAAACTTGAAACTTGTACGTTTCTACGAGTTTTGAGTCTCAAATGACAAAGTACTGAGTACCGAGTACCGAGACCTGAGGCTCGAGGCCCAAAGTTGAGACTCGGTAGTTGAATACAATGGTCTATACTCGATAGTCTTAACTCAATAGTCTGATACAATAGTCTGAACTCAATAGTCTATACTCAATAGCCCAATCTCAATAGTCTTAACTCAAGACTCGGTAATTGGTACTTGGTAGCTGGGACTCAATACATGGTAGTTGGGAGTTGGTACTTGATACATGGTAGTCGAGACTCAGTACTCAATACCCGATACTCGAAACTCAGTACTTGGTAGTTGGGACTCGAGACTTGGTAGTCGAGACTCAATACTCAATACTTGGTAGCCGAGACTCGATAGTCTGAACTCGATAGCCCAAACTCAAGACTTGGTACTTGATACAAGGGAGTTGGTACTCGATCCAAGGGAGTCGGTAATCCGGTACCCAATACAAGGGAGTCGAGACTCAGTACAAGGGAGTTGGTCCTCAGTACAAGGGAGTCGGTACTTGATCCAAGGGAGTTGGTACTCGGTACAAGGGAGTCGGTAATCTGGTACACGATACAAGGGAGTCAGTACTTGATCCCAGGGAGTCGGTACTGGATCCCCGGGAGTCGGTACTCAATACAAGTGAGTTGGAACTCGGTACAAGGGAGTTGGTACTCGATCCAAGGGAGTCGGTACTCCGGTACCTGATACAAGGGAGTTGAGACTCAATGCATGGGAGTCAGTACTTGATCCAAGGGAGTCAGTAATCCGGTACCCGATACAAGGGAGTCGGTACTTGATCCCAGGGAGTCGGTACTGGATCCCCCGGGAGTTGGTACTCAATACAAGTGAGTCGGAACTCGGTACAAGGGAGTCAGTACTCGATCCAAGGGAGTCGGTAATTGTTAAGACCGTGCTCAAAGGGCGGATCTGAAGAGCTTGGCTTCAGCTCGTGTGCTGCGCCCCTTACCCGAGTACGTGCCCTTAATTTCCGAAGGCTAGAAACAAAGTCTGAGGGAGGATGATGAATCCCGGTGGACTTCAAGGGGACAAGTCTGGTAGGCTTTCCCAAGGAAGAGTCAGGCCGATGTTCAGGGGGTTAGTCCGGCCGATCATAGGGTTAGTCCGGCTGACATAAGAGGATTAGTCCGGCCGACATAAAGGGGGTTCGTCGGCCGACGTAAGGAGGGTTAGTCTGGCCGACATAAGAGGATTAGTCCGCCGGACAATAGGGGCTTAGTACACCCGGAGAAATAGGGGCTTTAGTCCGGCGGACGTGGGGGACAGAATAGACAGGTGTAAGGACGGAAAGACAGGAAGTCCGAGGGGACAGAAGGACAGTATGTCCGAGAGGACAGGAAGTCCGAGAGGACAGAAGGACAGGAAGTCCGAAAAGGTGGAAGCTAGAGGTAAGACTACACTAGACAATGTCCAGAGTAGAAACTAACAGAGGTAGACTACCCGAAGGTAGAGGCAGAGTATAGCCCGAGGAATCAATCCCAGGACACAGAGGTTGGACAGGGAAGTGGCCCTGGGTCCATGGAAATGGATCCGGGTCCGAGGAAACAGGAATGAGGATAATCTAAGGTGATATTCGAACTCTGGAAACTACTACGAGTTTACAAGGTATTATATACTATGGACATGTGCGACGGGGACGGAGTCAGCAGAGATCCGGGTCAACGCGAGGAACATATGGAAAGGTTAAACTGACAGGCGCAAGGAAAATAATACAGGAACAGAGACAGAGATGAAGTATCGAATGGATCCGGGCATAGGAGGTATGATCGAGAATGAAGTCGGATATTAACTGTCAAACAGATCCGGTGTCTTACTACTTGAGGGTCTTATATGTTTTTGTGTAAATGTAGTGACACCACAACTACACTTTGATAAGACAAGAGTTGCCAACTCCTCAAGTACACGGTCAACGGATTTTCTAGTTTTCTCGGTTGATAACGTGTCGTTCGTGGGAGGCTCGACTATACAGTCTGTCGTTGGTTCTTGGAATGGGGTTCGGTTTTGGATGGGAGGATAGACCTAGACGATAGGCCTGATACGATGAACTGCGTAGAATAGATGGACTAGACTACGTTGACGAATGATTTGTCCGAATGGTCCTTGGACAATTATACGAGTGGATGCGCTACACAACACTTGGCTGAAGTATGTGGATCCTTTGATGAACGAGGGACCTTTGGTATGGAGCAAAAGTCCTTGGTGGTGTGGGATTGGGAAGCTGACTAAGCTTTTCCCAGACAGATACTTGCTGACGTAATCAGAGCAAGAATTTCTCCTGAAGAGTTCTTTGTCCAAACAGCTCTTGGACAAAAGATATGGGTTGTGTGGGATGCTGACTAAGCTTTTCCCAGACAAATCCTTGCTGACTTAATCAAAGCAAGGAAACAGCAGTTCTAGACCAACAAAGGACTAGAAAAGAAGGTTAGGGTGACTAAATGCCCCTAACAACAGTAAAGATAACACAAGACTAAGATTATATCAAATCTTAGTGTAGTAAGGCTGTCAGTATCAGCCTGCACTTCAGATGATAGATGTGAAGTGGGAAATCTCCAATATGGGGAGTGTCTCATTTCTCCTCAGAGAATTGAGCCTCCTTATATACATTTGGTGTGGGAAATATCCCAGGAACTGTATAGTACCAAGAAAATAGAAAGAGACACAAATCTCAGAAGAAATAAGGTAGTTGTAGCATAAAATGCAGAATTGAAGTGGAAAGAACACCAAAGGAGGAAAATGACTCATTCTGACTCATTTGACAGCAAATGACATCACTGTGGAGCAGTGTGGAGCATTTGTGGAGCAAAGTGGAGCTGAATGATATCATTGTGGAGCTATGACATCAAATGACATCATTGTGGAGTTATGACATCGAGTGACATCGTCCAAGATCAAATGACTCAATTCTGGAGTCACATGACTTCTCCTAGGGTTAATTACATGTTATGTAAGCTCAGATTGTGGCTGAAGCTCACATAACGTGCACAAATAAAAAAAGAACAAGAGAAAACAGAAGCAAGAAAGTCAACAAAGATAAATGTAAACAGAAGTAAACGAAATGCGAGCTTTCTGCCACTTTTTACTTCTCTTGCCTCAACATAGAGTAATTAGTCTAAAGCGAAAGCTTTTTGGACTAGTATACCCTTATCCTATTGAATGTCAATGTATGATCTTCGTTTCATGCATGACACCGGGCATATAGGGGTTAGGACAAGGGGACTATACAAATGGGGGTAACAGAATAGGAGCAGGACCGGGGAAATGAACTGTG